GATGTCGTTTTACTAATTAAGTACCGTACTTTCGATATCAGTTTAAAGATATTTGATATTTCTTACATTTACGGAAGAATCGCGTGGGCACACTTAACGATTTCAGCCTGTATATTAACATTTAAATAGTTTGTTAGTAATAGATTGAATTGCAGTAGTGCCCATCGTAAGTAGGAGTCCATAGATTCGCGAGTTGGCTGCCGCACCACCATATATCGCGTTAAGCTGCCATAGAGCGTGAGCAGTGGCGGCGGGCCAACGGACGTTACTGCCTACTACTGTACTTTACTACTGTTTTCATATTTACGACGTCATTTTGTAGTGAACTGCAAATATGCTTGTGTATGCTACAACAATAAATAAATAAACTTGCCATGCCCTTACGGCGTGTTATATTCTACTAGAATTAGCGAAGTGTGTATTTATTACTTACCTACTATTACAAATGTGCAATATGACAATCGACGCTGTAAAGGTAAAACGTCTAACGTCTAAAAAAATCGTGCGTCTAATTTTATTTTTTACATGGAAAATCTGAAACTTACTACTTACAATTTTTTTGTCTTAAAAAAATACGTTAAATCTCTCTTGTAATATTTTCCAAATGCATGGTTGACGTTTTACCTTACCAGACTCGACATGATTATTTCTTTTATGTGCCAAACAACGCGAATTACGTAGCCTTTACTAGGGAATTCCCTGTACTATGATTACCAGAGCAACTGATTGTACTCTGAGGCACTACCCAAAACACCCCGACCAGGACCAATTAAAAAAAAAATTCCCAAATAAGATCTTCCTGGAAACGAATACGGAACTTCAGTAAAAAAAAACACCCACAGCACAAACCGTTGGGGCACCGAAGTTGTCAAATGTAATTTTATAAATAAACTTAGTGCGTGGTACATGTTACCTCATAAGACGTGACCATTGTTAAAGAGCTCTTTCGGATGAAAATGTGGGTAACGCCAAGTATACAATTATGTAGAATGTCAAATAATTTCAATTTTTCTCTCTTTATTAAAAACCAACACTAGAGCCTGATTGTTAAAACCATTTGACCTACCAATAAATGAATGACGCATCTAGTACAGAAACCACGAAAAAAAATACCGGAGTTAACCTGTATAAATAAAATAATAATAATAATAAACATAGTGACATGTGAAGAAATATAAAAAAACTAAAACTTTTCATTTAAATTGTAACGTCATTGCAGTACTGCTTAATTTTGCTTGCAACCATTTTAAAGGTCCAAAAATTCACCATAATTAGCTTCTACTGGAAATTGAACAGAATGCACCATATTTAGCTTCGTAATTACTTCTTAATTTCCCGAATCCCGAAAAAGTCCAGGACCTAAAAAATATTGTCGTAAGGCAGTCTCCCTTTTCTGTCTGCCTTTCTCGAAGCTTAGGTAAAAAAACTCTACCTATACCGATCCCTGGTTATTACAAACATATTATAAAAAAAAAATATTTAAAAATACGATTAACATCAAAGAGACTCTATACTTTCTTTGTTCTAAATGTTTCAATCGCTTGTAGTTGAAATAATTGACATTGACGTAATGGGTCTCTTTTTGTCTTTTGCGCATGCAACGTGTAGGATAATGACTGTTAGAGTTTTGATTATTTTGATTGCTTTTGTTATTTATATTTGTGATTAATTTAAATATAAATTAAATACTATACTACCGTACAGAACATCACTTTTAAATGATAAATAGCAACGATAACATAATATACTACTTAATGAAAATATGATACATCATCCTGTTTTTTCATTTTACTTACGTTATTTTTATTAAGTTTTTATTATACTGTATGGCATGATTGACAAGCGTGCTGTCGGTTGACCAAACGAAAATTGACCCGCGATTGATGCTCTATTCGCGATATACACTAGAACGCCCTATAGGTTAGGACACTTTTTAGCGCGGATTCAACGTCCATTTATTGCTATATCAATGGTGAAATCATTAAATACGGCTACATCTGCAAAATTCCGACTTTTCAGAAGTGGGGTTTTGAAATTCAAGAGACGTAATAAGTCGATAACTTTTTATGTCTAGACAGGATATAATTTGTGAAACAAATTATGTAAAATTTTATATGTTGTTCGTTTTTTTTAATTATTTTTATGACTTTCTTGTAACCAAAACACCTTTGCCTTATGATCACGTGCGGTTTTATTACACCAAGTGTACGATTTTAAGTGTAACCTAAGCTTCCGACTAAAGCTAATATAAATACATCAGCAGTCTCTAAACACGAAAAGACAATGGCTATGTAAATACGGATAATTAGAAGCTGGAAATAGAGAAGTTCTGTGTTGCAGCGCTCAGTGCCTAGAGGTGCTAATGATACCCTCTAGACGGAAAACACGCTTCGGATGTCAAACGAGCGAATAATCGTCCTCCGCTTACACTCACTGCTTACACTCCAATGCCTCCGGGTGTTTACGATCTCTAGTTAATAATGTGAACTTTGTATCCAACTTTGTGTTATGGTAATTACAAAATTACTTTTTTTTTTATACATGACAGGCAAATGACTCCACTCCACCTGATGTTAAGTGGAAAGTGGTATCCAAACGCGAAGGAACCTAGTGCAGCGATGAAATCCTCACTGCACTAGCCACCTCCACCCTGCCTGCCTACTACACTCTAATCTGAAATTGTTTAATACAAAAATTCTTCAGTTCAATTTAGAAAGAAATTGTCAAAGTATACATCACCTTACCTACGTGTGGCGCACTATAAGTTTCCGGAATGAATAAGAAAAAATACTATAAATGGTCAGAAAAGAATTTATTGTTTCTCAAAATATTCTCTGTTAGTGTTAATGCACTTTGTCATACGAATGAACCAATTTTAAAAACATTTGTGCCACTCTTCCGTGACAATCTCTAAAACATGTTTCTTACTCTTCGACAGCCTATTCAAGTGATGAACATCGTTGACCGCGTAACTGATTCTTAATTTTTGGAAATACATAAAAGTCACAAGGTGCCAGGTCGGGATTGTATGCAGGATGGGTCATAAGGTCAACGTTGTTCACTTTCGAAAATTTATTTGTCTGTCTGGTCGAGAACTGGTATTATCGTGGTGCAAGATGATACGGTGTTTACGTGAGACGCCCTTTCGTTGAATCTGGTAAGCATGGAATTGCACTTAATGACGCAATCCGTTTTTTGAGCCTCAGTCAAACTGTGTGGGATCCACCGAGAGTACAGCTTCTTCACACCCAAGCTTTTTCACGTTTTTTTGTTGTTCACAGCAGTGAACGGGCGACCATCACGAAATTCGTCACTGAGATTCACACGACCGCGTTTGAATTCTGCAAACCAGCTGTAAATAGTCGTCATGCATGATGCTTCATCGCCAAATGCAGTTTGAAGCCGAGCGAAGCTCCGCTGAGCTGTTAGATTACACTTAAAGTCTTAGAAACTCATACTACGAAAATATCATAAGTTAAATCCATGGTGATGACAACAACCAACAACAAGGTTAAACAACCAATTTCTAAAATAACGCACAATGTAAAAAAAAACAAGTGACAGTCAGAAGAAACAAACTGTATTCTACAGCCAAAGAGTTCCATTTTCAAAATGTTGTAATTACTTTTTAAATATTGTTTATGTAAGCGGCCAGTTTCGAAAACTTATAGAGCGCCCTATACATTTCTGCCGCCAAGCAGTAATGTCAGTGTTACTGTGTTCCAGTTTTGAAGGGTTAGGTTAGGTTAGTACTACTGGTGAAATTACTGGCGCATGGGATTTGTCAACATATGTCTCAGAGTGGCGCTCGCAATGACAGTGCCCCTGAGATCTTTGCGATTTAAAGCTCTGAGTGGCACTGCAACTATCATGGACAGGCGTGTCGCTTACCATCAGGCTCACGACTTGTTCATATCATAAAAAACAAATGACTCTTGGAATTACAAATTTACCACAGCTCATCGATCTTGTAATATAGTTACTATTAACCGTACACAATAAAGAGATATGAAAAATCATTGTTTATAATTCTATTCAGGTATATGGAATCTTTAGGCGAGCGCTTTATTCATCTCTCTCTGTCTTGCGTAATGAAACAAAAGGATATGCCACTAGCAACCTTCTAATGCCTGAGTCATTCGTTCCGCATGTTTAGAACATAACTCAAATGATAGATATTTTGGTCGTGATGTACCAGCTATTGCATGCAGCGAAAATGTAACTATTGTTTGCGGCTAAAACGCAGCCGAAATGATATTTCTCACCACGTACTTCGTGATATTTCGTATACAATTCTAATGTCATAGGTTTAAATACACTAACGCAATAAGAGAACATAGGCATTATTTACACTTATTTTCATTTACTTTGAGATCTAAGGTACACCAGTACGTAACTAGCATTTATATTCCTAGTAAAGGAAAATGTAATAATATGCAAATTAAACAGTAAAACAAATACACAACAAAACGAGTAATGTGAACGCTATAATGATCTATATAAAATGAACATTAATGTAATTATTTTATTTTATTAAAAAACAATAAGGCTTATTTGTTGTTTATTGAATTGTAAAAATAAACGCATTGAATACAAATACGTTTAACAAACAGCATGTGTATTTTCTCGGAGCTACGCCGTAGTAGCGAGTTGCTACGAGCAGCGTAGAGAATTAATTATTTTTGTAAAGTTATAGAACACAGCCCATCAATCGATTAAAGAAACAAGGTTCATGTGTACGTATTTTTAATAGTTTGCTATTTTCTCTTGACGATTCTTTCACCGCAAATGTAATACATAACTATGATTTGTGCATTTCAAGTCACAACATTACACAGCACATTTCAAAGAAAGTTCTCATGGCCTTTATATCTCTGGCGACAAATGTCCCCAAAAATTTTTGTTCCATTTGAAGACCGTACAAGGTGGAATGCAAGGCATGTACATAAATCTTTTCATTTAACCGTCGTACGTCTCGTCGGTGCCGTTACGTGTACGAGATGCCTCGGAAACAATTACCCGCGCCCCCGCGCTCCCTCGACTCGCCCCCTTCGACGTGAGATGTGAACACATTCTAACCGCAGATATGCCCTACGCACATAAGATACGACAATGTACTGTTGTACAATGCTTTTTATTTACATGTACGAGTAAATACATTTTGATATGTAAGTCTTATCTTACATAAAGGGTAAAAAGGCATGCTAGGAGTTAAAACAGTATTAAAAATATGTTGCTTTTTGTTTGGACTATTGTGTAAATAGAAAACTTCGCAATTTCACACACACGCACGAACACACACACACACACACACACACACACACACACACACACACACACA